TGGAAAACATCGTGTACTTCTGATTTGTTTCTTAGAAAGTAAACAAATACTTTGTGGGTGAAGTCGTCCACAAAAGTGAGAAAGTATTTTGATCCTCCCAATGAATTTTCCTCCATAGGACCACATAGGTCTGAATGGATTAGTTCCAAGGGTCGGCTTGAGTTCTTGACATGTGGCTTAAATGGTAGACGGTGTTGTTTGCCCTGCACACATACCTCGCAAGGTTCACTCAGCGAATTTTTGAAATTCGTTCCCGTAACGACCCCGTTTTTTATTCGGTTCATGCTGTCCGTTGACGGATGGCCTAGTCTGCTATGCCATAGATGTATATTGTCAGCAACCGATACTGAGTTAGCACCGTGCACCTTATTTTTCGGTCGATCCAGTTTGTACATGCCATTCTTCAGTGTGGCACTGGCGATGAGGGCGTTGCTTTTGTCGTATATACTGCATTTACTGCTCTCAAAGTACACCTTGTGCCCCTTATTGGTTATTTTACTCACAGACAGCAAGTTTGTTGTCAAATCTGGCACAAACATAACCTCTTTTACGTTTATTTTGTCAGGTGTACCACCTGTACAAACGTCCAAATTTACCTCCCCCACTGCATCGACATTTAGACGATTTTTATTGGCTACTATAATTTCCTGCGTGGATGAAGGAGGTTTGCTTGCGGATGTCAGCCATGTTTTGTCGTTCGTTAGATGGACCGATGCACCGGAGTCGATATACCATTCATTTTTTTCAACATGATCGTTTCCGGTTGACAAGACTGTTAAGAAGGATTTCGCTTCCTTCGTGTTGGAAGATTTGCCATTTTCTCTCTGCAGGCGAGCCTTTCGTTTAAAACAATTCTTCCCGAGATGACCAATTTTATTACATTCAAAACACCGTGGCCCATTTTTAGTATAGTTCTTCTTTTCGGCGTGGTTTCCGAAGAACGCTACTCCATTTTTGTTTGAACTGCTTGTATCGACCTTGACCTCTTGTAATAGTTTCACCTTGATCGAGTCACTGGTAATGGCGATACCGGAGCTTTCTAGTCCCATTATCATTGGGCGATAATGGTCTGGCAATCCAGCAAGTAATAACGTCCCGAGCCATTCATCACTTACAACAAAACCAATATTCGTCAATTTATGTCCTGTTGAAATAATCTTGTTAACGTACTCTTCTACGGAATCACAATTTTCCAACTGAGTTGTAATTAAGGTACGTAACAGGCCAACTCTTCGCGTAAGTCCTTTATCGTCGAAGGCCTTGATTAAATTTTCCCATGCCTCTTTCGCTGTCTTCGCATTTTGCACGTGGACATAGTTTATGGGGTGTATCGACAGGATTATTTTGGCCTTAGCCTTTGCAACTTGTTTTGCCGTAGTGTTCGTACCCTCAACACATTCCCACAACTCTTCATGCTCCAAATATGTTTGCATTGCGAATTTCCATGAGTTGAAGTTTTCGCGCCCTAGTAGTTTTTCGATCGGTGGTAGCGTGGACGCTGCCATTTTGTTGCCGGAACACAAAAGTTTTTATCACTGAGATATATCGGATTCACCTTATTTTTACACGCGGCCAAACAATCAGCAGTACCCTGGGCCCATAACCTGTAGCAAGGTTTTGCTTTATCCAGTGGAATTGATTGTTTGGAAATTATAGGTGAATAAAACTAAACGAAACGATTGAAATGTGTATTGCAACAACGTGGTACATCAACTGAACTTACAGTGTCAAGTGCGCACATGCGCAAGCTTATGTCGGTAATACAGTTAGCAAAAGGGTAGTTTTCTATAATATCAACAACTTCATATTACTAAGAAACGGTTTTCTGTGGATCTTTCAAAAAAGTAATAAATTTTTATTATTACAATGCTGGCGGTATTAGGTCAAAATTGAAAGATTTTTCTCTTAATGTCAATTCTAGTGTATATGATGTGCTTATTATATCTGAATCTTGGCTTTGTCAAAATATCTCTAATGAGGAGCTTAATTTAAACAATTACAATATTTTTCGGGCTGATCGCAACTCTAATACCAGTGAAAAAGTTTGTGGGGGTGGTGTGTTGATTGCAGTAAAAAAGGATTTTAGGGCATCTGTGATTTTATCTGGTCGGTTTGTGGAAAGTATTTATATTAATTTTAAACACAATAATTTAGATCTTATAGTTGGTGGAGTTTACATTCCGCCTGTATCGCATTTGAATGTTTATGAAAATTATTGTTCTGATTTGGAGTGTATTTTTGAAAAGTTTCCTAATTCCTCTTATATTATAGCTGGTGATTTCAATATCCCTCTTTCAAACTGGAATAGGAATGATATGCAGTTTAACTCATTTGGTAATTTTCGGGAATATTGTGAGGTAATTTGTTTAACTGCTGCATTTATGAACATGCAACAAGTTAATAGTATTCCAAATTCCAGAGGTGTTTATCTTGATCTTATTTTTTCTAATATAGTGAATATAGATATTTGCCATGCAATAGACGCTATATTTTCTGAAAGTTTTCATCATTCTCAGTTATCGTGGTTTGTATCTTCTGTTGATCTTCCTATCTTATATTATGAATCTCGTATTTTTGACTTTACTAATGGTGATTATAATATGTTAAATGAATTTTTTGCTTCAGTTCATTGGGATTCCTTATTAATTAGTCATGACTTGGATGAGAATATTTCAACTTTTTATAATATTCTATTTTATGGTTTTGAGAGATATATTCCATATAAAGTTGTAAAATATAGTCCTTCTAATTACCCAAAGTGGTTTACTGTGGAACTAAAAGATCTATGTCGAAGGAAGAGTGAAGCACATTACAAATATAAAAAATCAGGCAAATTAGGTGACTATCTCTATTTCAAATCTTTGCGATCTCAATGTAAAGAGCTTAATCAACAGCTGTATGCTGATTACATTGTTAAGGTAAATTTAAGTATCTCAAGTGATCCCAAATTTTTCTGGAAGTTCGTTCGGGACAAGAAGGCGAATGATGGTATTCCTGATGAAATGATACTTGGACAGCAATCGGCAAACAAGGGTGAAGATATAGCTAATCTCTTTGCGGATTATTTTGCTTCGGTGTATGTTAAGGATGACTATAGAAAATTTGTGTGTGATTTTGAGGTGTCACCTCAGGTTCATGATGTAGGTTTAAATATCACACTAACCGATGTTTTTGATCATATATCTGATTTGAAATCGTCTTGCAATCCTGGTCCTGATGGTGTACCTAGCATAGTTATAAAAAATTGCAAATTTACTCTTTCGCTACCTTTGCTAAATTTATTTAAATCCTCATTGAGGGAAGGAATTTTCCCGGAAATATGGAAAAGAAGTTTCGTAATTCCAATTTTTAAATCCGGTCAGCGTAATAAAATTGACAACTATAGGGGTGTATGTAATCAATCTGCAATTTCTAAATTACTCGACGGTATAGTTTCCAAACAGTTACAGTGGAGTTCCTCTTCGGTTATTTCGTTTAAACAACATGGACTCTGTGTTAATAGATCTACACTTTCAAATTTGTTAGAATATCAATCGTTCTTAAATGAGGCCTTCACGGATAGATGTCAAGTTGATTCGGTATATACTGATTATGCCAAAGCTTTCGACAGAGTAAATCATAGACTGCTTATTATGAAATTGCAAAAATTAGGTTTTAAGGATCTATCGATTAAATGGTTATCGTCTTTTCTATTGGGTAGAATGCAACAAGTTCGCATTGGGAATTGCTTTTCTTCTTTCTTTAATGTTCCGTCAGGTGTCCCGCAGGGCACCCATTGTGGTCCTATCCTTTTTTTATTATTTGTGAATGATGTGACTCAATGCTTTAATTATTCGAATTACCTACTTACTATATGCTGATGACCTAAAGCTTTTTAAAAATATACGATCGGTTCAAGATGCAGTGCAACTTCAGGTAGACCTAGATTCACTTGGGGAATGGTGTGATAACAATTGGCTCCCTTTGAATATTAAAAAATGTTATGTTATATCATTTCTTAATTTAAAATCTCGTATTGAGTTTAACTATCAAATTAACTGTCATGCTGTTACTCGTGTTTTTGAGATAAAGGATTTGGGTGTGATATTTGACTCGGGTCTCACATTTAAGAATCATTATGGTTATATTTTTAATAAATCCTTAAACATGTGGGGTTTCATTTGGCGTAATTACAAAGATTTGTCAGCGTCAGCATTGAGAATTCTGTATTGTTCGTTAGTACGGTCACATTTGGAGTATTGCTCCTCTGTTTGGTGTCCAATTTATAATGTAGACTCTTTATTACTGGAAAAGGTTCAGAAGAAATTTCTTAGAACAATTGAGTTTAAGATGGGACATAGACATGTTAGAGGTGAATACAGTTGGATAATGAGTTGTTTCAACATTCAGGAACTAGGCATACGGAGATGTATTAATGACGCGCATACACTTCACAACATTATCAATGGCCGTATTGATAATTCTGAATTACTAAGGAGATTGACATTTTTGGTACCGGCATCAGGAAGCTGCACTACTCGTAGCAGAAATATATTTAGAATTCGATTGGCAACATCAAATTTAGCAAAAAATCATCCTTTGCGAAGAATGATGGACGCTGCTAACCGCTATACAAAAGATGATAAAGTTGAGATCTTCAATTCTTCAGTGTCTAAGTTCAGGAAGCAAATTTTAAAGTACTTCGGTTTTTAATGATATGAGGTGGTTATTAGTATACATATATATATATATTTGGTTAATTATGTTTAAGAGTGTAATTATTTTTTTTGTAAGTGGGGTTTTCCCGTTAATAAATAAACTAAACTAAACTAAACTAAACATTCTGATTGAGTTACGTTGTATAAATATTTTATCTAACTCTTAACCATGGTTGAAAGAATATATTCATTTTTCGATGATTCTAATTTTAGTTCATCTAAAAAACTGTTTGTGTGATCTACGGTTCTACAATAGAGGATTTTTAGATACTGATACATGGGTTGCCTACTTCAGACATGTGTCATTGCATCCCCACCTCTTAACTAAACCACCATAACCTAATTTGTGCACGTTTTGTGTGACTAGATCGACAAAAAGTAATTTTCAGTGCACACATAATGGTTAAAATCAAAAAGAAACCACTACAAATTAAAAAGAAAATGTCACCCAAACCGCTAAAGAAAATCAAACCAAAATTGAAGAAATCACAAAACAAAACTGATTTCACCTCCATGTCGGTGGATACCTTTTTGAACCACAATTTCGAAGACGTTGACTCCGACATTTCCAGTGAAGATGGAGAAGAAACAATTACAGCCGACGTGGTTGAAGACAGTAACTCACATAATGAAGAGAACCTATCAGATGGTGATTCCGGTGATGAAATTGAGAACCACAAACACGCACTGTCGAAACTAAAAGACACAGATCCCGAATTTTACAATTTTCTGCAAGAAAACGACAAGAAGTTGCTGGAATTCAACGTGTCAGACGACGAAATTGAAGAGGGTGACGACGACGATGAGGAGACAAACAACGCTCCACATAAGCTCCCACAAGAACTGGAAGTGGCTAGTGATGAGAGCGACTTTGAGGTATTTGTAAATTTAAAATACAGAGAATAGTTTTCATGAAAATTTTTTCAGGATGAAGAAAAAGTAAAAGATAAGGGAACTGTAACTCTGAAAATGTTACGAAATTGGGAAAGCGCCATCCAAAAAGACACGTCAAATAAATCTATCACTGCAGTAATACAAGCTTTTCATGCAGCTCTTCTCACAGTAAGTTCAGAAGACGAACAAGAACCTTGCCAGTACAAAGTGGAAGGAGCAGCTGCTTTTAACGGCGTCATTCAGCTGTGTGTTATCCATTTAGGGCCTGCCTTGCAGCGGTTTTTGGGTCTCGCAGACGGCTCTAAGCAGCCCCCACATAAATGCAAGAAGTTCGTGAAAATTAAGGGGATTTTGAAAGATTACTTCATGGATTTATCAAAGGTTGGTTTTTCAATTTAAGCATTAATACACAACAAAAATGAAAACAATTTTAAAAATTACAGTTATTAAGTGGAGTCACTTCAACCAATATCCAAACCGTGCTACTCAAACATCTCCATTTCATGTCTCCTTTTGTTGTTTCATATCCAAATATAACAAAGTCAATTTTGAAGCGATTAATCTCAATTTGGGGTACCGCTGATGAAGGTGTGCGGGTCTTAGCTTTCCTTTGTATTTTACGAATTACTAATGGCCAGAAAGCCAAATTTTTGGACACCGTTCTTAAAGCGATGTACATGACGTACGTGAAAAATTCAAAATTCGTCAGTGTCGGTTCGTTAGCGGCTATTAATTTTATGCGTAGATCGCTCGTTGAAATGTTCGCTTTAGACGCGACAGTGGCGTACCAGCACGTGTTTTTGTACATCCGACAATTAGCTATTCATTTACGAAACGCCATTACCGTGAATAAAAAAGAAAATGTTCAAGCTGTATACAACTGGCAATACATCAATTCGTTGAAATTGTGGGGCAATTTTCTAAGCGCTACTTGCCACAAGCCGCAGTTACACCAGCTAGTTTATCCATTTGTTCAAGTGTGTTTGGGAGTTTTGAAACTTGTACCAACAACTCAGTATTATCCATTACGATTCCACGTGGTTCAGATTTTAATGGATTTATCGCGTGATACAAGCGTTTTCATTCCTATCCTACCATTTATCCTTGAAGTACTCACTTCGTACGACTTTAACAAGAAGCACCAGAAGGTGTCAATGAAGCCACTGCAGTTTATGTGCTTGTTAAGGGCCTCAAAATCACAAATGATGGAAAATGGGTTCAAAGATGCCATCATCGAATCCGTTTATGGGTTATTGCTCGAATATTTAGCCTCATATTCTCACAGTATCAGTTACCCAGATTTGAGCTTATTGTGTGTTATTCAGGTATTGTTCTTGTGGGAACGCGTGCGGAGGCAAAATGTAGAAAAACAACAAAACTGTTGCTAGATGAAAAATTATTTTTGTGTTTATCCATTTTGTCTTCTTCTCGTAGTTCGTTATTTATGTTGTGATCTTTTCTGAGAATGCTTTTTTAGATAAAACAATTTTTGAAAAAGTGCAACAACGCCAACTACAACCGAAAAATTAAGCAGCTTATGGAAAAAATCGAACAGAATTCGCAGTTCATCGAAACTGAACGCAGTAAAGTTACTTTGAATATAACAGATTTTAAACAAATCGAGGGTTGGGAGTCACAGATTAAAGCAAAAGGTACTCCTCTGGGAACTTTCTTTGAAAACTGGAATAAACTTCATTCAGTTAAAAAACAGAAACAGTTAACCCAAAATGATGAGTTGGGGAATTACAAGCTACCCAAAATTAAGAAAAAACCAGCGAAAGTGCGGTCTGAGGGACCAGTGGAACTGTTCCCTAGTGATAGCGAAGATTCAGATACGTCATCCCAGAAAGAGAAAAAACCAAAACGAGGAAAACGGGCTGGAAAGAATGCTAATAAAAAAATGAGAGATGAAAGCGGGCCGGTGGAAGACGGAGGAGAAAAAGACATCGTGGAAGACATAAAAATGAGCGACTGGTGATAAATTAAATAAAATTTATTTTCATAAAAAAAATACAATAATTATAAAACTTATTAGTTAATAAGTACGTTTACATTGTACATTGTTATTATAATGTTTTTAACAATACATTTACACAGAAACGAAAGTCTTTTTTGGCACTCTGCTTATTTGCCCGACCAGAATATATTAATATAAATAGTAAAACCTAACATACATATATACATGACCCATTCACACTCGTCCTAAACCAAAAATTTCGGTTATTTTTTTATGTACACACAAAATTATATGGCTGATTCATTTGAAATCTCACATTCTATAAATATAACTGACAAAGTCAATATAACACAGACACTCGATTTATAAGGCACATAATGAGCTTGACGACACTCGGGTCCGACGCTAAAGTGACTCAAAACCTGATATGTCACTTCCCTGAAAAAAACAAAAAATAAACAGAGTTCTCGTGGAAATTTAAATTTTTACCCGGTCCGGCTTATACAAGTGGGTGTGGGGGAGCAAAAACGTGGAACCCAAATCCCGTTCAGCCATTGTGTTCGCTTCCTGGAAAATAAAAATAAAAAAATTAATACAGAACAAAATTAAAAATCACAGGAAATTTCTGACAAGTCAGTAAACACATACATCGTTTTGGTGCTGCGATGACGGTTTCGAATCGTAGTCGCCCCTGAACGATTTCATGGGGGGTGGAATCGTCGTTTCGTCGTACGATCTAGCTTCAGACACGGTACTACAATTACCAACAATAAATTGTTGTCAACAAAATTAGACACAAAAATCTTACTTTATCCGAGGTGTTATATCCAACCAGTTCGTCATAGGGTCAATATCGTTATCCCTAACAAATAAAACATTCATCAAGTACGACAAATAAGTACCGCTCTACTTACCGTAAAGTATTGAATTGCGACCTTGTCCCCGTACTCGATAATAAATCAGCACTTATTTTCTGTATCAAAGTCGCGTTTTCGCTACGGTCGGCTTCGGTACCACAGGTGGTACCCAAAGTGCCCATATTGTTCCCCAAAACGGTGGCAGAAACCTCGAAACCGGCGGACACTAAAGCCCCAGAAGTCTTTCTCGAGTTGGATTTTTCGTCAATGTAGGAGTCGCTTTGGGCAGTACTATATTTCCGTTTGTTGTCAGACTGCAATCATTGAAAGGTCATCAAAATAAGTCTTTGTATGGACATATCTACCTTGCTCGGCGAAGGTCCCGCATCTAAGTAACTCAACAATTTAGCCTCGTTGGTGGTAGATGGAACAGACGGCTTTCTGGCATCAAACGTCGTATAGTTGCTCAGTGGAGAAGTCGGTGGTGCTGGGTGGTACTTAGCTCGTGGAATCATCACAGTTAAAGACCTATCCTTTTGATCAGGGAAACTCATTTCACCGTTTTCGACGTCCGCGTTTTGTACTACCGGTTTCTTTAAAGCCCCTTTTAGTTGTTTTTTCTTTTTGGGAACGTATGGTGGTAAGGTGTTGGTTTCTGAGCGGCTGTCTTCAGAACTCGTGTCTTGAATCATCGCACGTCGATCCATGGTACGATTTGCGACTCTCTGAGGCAGGAAGCTCATGCCGGTAGCCACTCGAGTTTTCTTTCTGGGTTTCTTGCGACAGCAAGTCATGATGATGCAGATTAGTAATAGCGCGAATAAAATAGCCCCCAGGGTCACCAGAGCGATCAACAAAACTGCAATCAGAAATTAGAACTTTGGTACTCTAGTGGTACCAAATTGTTACCCTTTAAGTTGACGTGACAACTCTCCCCTGTATACCAGTGGAAGCATTCGCAGAAAACCTGATCATCCCCTCTCGAGTAGCAAGTACCGTGGTAGTTGCACCGCTCGCACCCGATCAACTCAGCAGAGCAAATCCGTCCAGGGTACAAAATATTTTCGGATAAATCAGCAAACCCTTCTTTACAGCTGCAAGTGTAGGTACCTTTCAAGTTGAAGCATTGCGCGTTTTCTGAACAATCGTGGAACTTAGAATTAGTGCACTCGTCGAAATCTACAGCTTTAAGATCCTCCAGACTTTCCCGAGACGCATAAATTTCGGTACCACCTAAACTGTAGTTGTTGTTTCTCAAATATTTTTTGAAAACGTCTTCTAGACGTTTCTCGTCGGTGTTATCTGAAAGCTGCAAATAAAATTTCGTCGTGACCCCGCTTGGAGCCTTCGTCGGTCTATATGAATGTATATGAACACCATGGTAGATATCTCTCAAATCCGATTGCATAACCATTCGATCAAGAGCCTCATGCGTGAGAGCTGTCAATTTGGTGAACCCTGTGGAGTTCGGGTTCGTCAAGTCTTGAGTGAATTGTAAATTTTCGCGACCGAAACGATCTAAATCCACCTTAAGATTGTACGTGTAAGTTGCTGGAAGGGAAATTGTTTGAATGGTACTACTTTGGCGGAGGGTACTTACGAATACACGGTCGGTCCGGGAACATCCGCGCGAAGCCTGGTCTACACACGCATCGCATTATGCCTTCGACCTTTTGGCATAGCTCGTTCCTGGATGCTTTACATTCGGGTTCACACTTGTCGGTTTGGACGCGTGGTACTTCCAGACTTGGCGGACTAGCGATAAATATACCACCGAGTAGAACGTTGTTGGCTTCGTTGTTGGTCAACATTTCGTCTCTGTCTTGAGTTTCGTAACTATTGTTGGGTACTTTGATAACACTACCTTTGTTCTTGTCGGTCATCACGACGAAGATTGAGTCGTTTTCATCACTGGCTTCCTCTTGAAGTAGTGGTGGGTCGGTTTCGTTGATAATGAACTCTTCTAAGTCGTCGTCGTCTTCTTCAGTACTTTCGACAGTGATAGTGGGAATGGCTATGGTACTGGTAGTAGTTGGTTGGATTTTAATGGAGGGGTAATTACTGGTGTAGACATCTGGTGGATATAGGGAACTACCAGTACTAATGGTTGTGGTTACAGTTTCTACAATACTCGTCGGTTTGACTAGGGTATGGAATTCTGTAACCGTATCGACTAACGTTGACTTTTCTGTTTTTGTAACTAGGAGAGTGGATGTAGATGGTGGACCCCCTAAAGTTTTAACAACGGTGGTTTTTGTTATAGTAACGGTGGAAGTCTTTGTGTGGGTTATATAACGTGTTGGTATAACCGTTTTGCTTTTTCTTGTAGTTAGTACCGATTTTCGCGTGGTGGAACTGATGGATGTTATAGTATCGTCTACTATTTTGACTTCGTTACCAGCGTGGTGCACTGCAGTTGGTATGATGTCGAGCGTGGGGGTGCTGACAGTAGTGGTACTGCTCTTAATGATACTGCTGTCACTACTGCTACTTCTAATGCTGCTGCTGCTGCTAGTACTACTTCTAGTAGTGCTAGTAGTACTAGTAGTAACAGTACTAGTGCTAGTGTCCGTTGGTGTAGTTTCAGTAATTAGTAGCTTAGTAGTCGCTGGTAGTTCCGTCGTTCTAGTACTTTCCGTCCAAATATTAACTTCGGTTTCTGACGACGACAATATAATCGGCGTCGTTGACACACTAATAGAATTTGGATTACCAATTATAACCTCTAAAGTTGGCGTACTCGTAGTAATCGACGGCGAAGGTACTATAATATTATTTTCCTCTAGAACAGGTCTCGGAGTTGTTTTATTCCTGACATAAATGTCGTAGTACGGCTTCGGAGGTCTCCTCGTTGTCACTCTAACAGTCGTAGGTCTTCGAGTGAACGGTTTTCGCGTAAGTTTCTGCCTGGTAGTAGTTTCCGGTGCCGGAGTAGTTCTCACTTCATGAGTGAATGGTACCTTAATCGTAGTACCGTCGGTTCTAACAATCGGTTTATGTGTCGACACCAAAGGAGGTGGACTCATGCCCACCACCTCATCCAAAATAATACTTGGCGGCGGTGGTACTATATCTTCCGCCGGTTTAGGAACATAAGGTATCGACGTACTAGCATGTCCCTCCAAATCCGGTTTATGTTCCAAATTAGGAACTCTGTGAATGTCGCCACTCGGCGAATTAATTTCGATTCTCGGGGGCTGCATATTGATCTCCGGAACCGGTGGTGGCGGTTTCATTATCTCCAAATCACTATCGTCGATTATCGGTACTTCCCCGATATTGAGTTCCGGTGTTACTTCTTTGACCGTCGTCGTTGATACAGTCGTCACTCTCTCTCGTTTCAAGAGATCTGTGATCGACAATGGTTTGGAAGTTCTAACCGGTTTCTCGGTTTGGGGTACGAAAGGTTTGATGATTTGTGGAGATACAGTTGGGAGGTCAATCGGCAAAGACGTCACTTTTGGTCTATTGGCAATGACTTCATTGATGAACGGTTTTGGAGTGGTAGTGGCGATGAACACAGGAATTGGTTGTCTGGTTTTTAGACTAAACGAAGTAGCGTTGTGGAAGTGTGGTCGTTTCGTAATGATTTCCGATCTGCGTGTAGTAATAGGTCTAACGGTTGTAGTTGTTGGTTTTCTACGAGTAGTACTATGACGATGAAGAACGAAATTATTTTCGGTACTAGATTTAATGTCAAGGTGGATGGGTCGTGCGGTGATACTTCCAATATAAGTGATGAACCCTGTATCCGGTTTGGTTGGAATATAATTGTATTGATCTTGCTCGAAGTGATTAATTTTGTTGTTTTGATTGTCGGGACGCACCACAGGTACTTCACCAAATGGCCTCGGGAAATTAACCACGGGTTTAACGCGAACTCGGTCTTCTTCAAACGTGCCGTACTTGATGGTACTATCATTCCTGACGGGAGGTTGAGTTGTCGTTTTAATTTTCAGAATTTCGAATGGTACCTGACCAGGTCGTAAAGGCCTGCTGTTCGACTCTTGCACCACTTCACCTTCTTCATTAGTCAAGTCTTCATCGTATTCCTCGTCGTCTAAAAATGTTTCATCCAATTTGTGTGGAGGTAAGTTGTCTTCGCTTTCGGGTAATAAGGGTATAGGAACGGGTTTCTGAGGTCTTAGGTTCGTCGTAGGAAGGTTGGATTTATACGGTGGAGGAGTCATAAATTCGGAAATTTCTACCTGAGGTTTGGTTAACGGTCGCACGAAATTGTGCTTCGGTGGTACTTGAACCTTAGTGAATGGTTTTCCGACGGAGGGTGGTTTCAGGTTGACAATGTGATTGGACACAGGTTTTGGTTCAGATGGGGGCCTCAAATCGATTATGTCTTCGGAGATTTGAGGTCTGACTACTTTAGTGTCTTCAGTTGGAGTGTTGTAGTGGTTTTTGAGAACGTCGTAAGAAAATGGTTGCGGTTGCCCGTACGTACTAGCTTCAGTTGTGGCTACGTTTTTGATGTTTGTGGCAATATTATATGAAGCTTGCGGCAAATTCCCAACGTTGTGACTTTCTGTTAATTTGTTCTTATTTTTGTATGTGTCGTAAGAAGATATGTTGTATCTATTGAACCTGTTTTTGTTGGGTTTGAAGACATCAAGGGATGGTTTTCTGGTAGTTCTTACCACGTCGAGGAATTTGTTAGGTTCGTTGTTGATTACGTCGTGGTGAGTTAATTGTGGTCGCCCAACGGAACCCACACCTCCCACAAACCTGTTGTCGTTGTTTTTGTGGACATCAAAAGTTAATTTGTTAGGTTCGTTGTTGATTACGTCGTGGTGAGCTAATTGTGGTCGCCCGACGGAACCCATACCTCCCACAAACCTATTGTCGTTGTTTTTGTGGACATCAAAAGTTACCGGTTCTGGATCACCCACAGTACCGATGGCTGCCACGTAAATGTTGTCGTTGTTCTTGTGAACTTGTGGATTTTCCACCGTACCTATACTATCCGTGTACCTATGGTCATTAGTTTTAATAACGTCATACGAAATAGGTGGTGGTCTGAACTGGGTGTCACCATGGTTAATCACGTGGGCGTTAAAATCATTGTCTTGGTGTATCATTCCGAAAGAGATTGGTGGTACGTTGATATTAACTTCCTGATTTGGGTACACCACCACGTTTGGTCGCGATGGACTAATATTAAGTTGTATTTGGTCTTTATCGATGGGTTGCGGCGCAACTTTAATCACACCACCGACTTGCTTCTGATTGGGTGAGTTATCGTTGTAAACTGACGCAAATTGAGGAATCCCGTTACTAAAACTTTCAATTGCTGAAAATTCAGGTTCGGGATATGGAGACGGATCGTCAAAGTATTGACCATTATGATGGGTTTCGGTTGAACCACCATAAATCAACGCAGTCGTTCGATTATGAGGGATATTCACAAAAGCGACCTGACTTGGTTGAATATTGACCAAAAGCGGCTGACCCGTTGATCTTTCTACTACTTCGGGCAAAACAATAGACGGTTGAAGGTTGTACTCTTTGATTGGATTGCTCAGAGTTGGTTGTCCCTCAGCATAAACCGGGAATGTTACTTGTGCAGCCTGTTCGTAATTTTTCTGAATCTCGTCTCGAATGTTGGGGATTTTGATTTCGTGATTGACGTCGTTGAGTCCGTAACTAACACCGTAGTTGTTTTGGGAATGAGCATAAACGTGGTGGTCGGGTCGGTTCAACGGGATGTGCTTATGCTTCTCGACTCTGAGAGGGGGTGGTGGCCCAACATAGTCATCCTTGCTGGGTGCGTGTATTATGGGTTTTTCTACCTTAACTGGGATGGGTTTGTACTCGTGGTTTCGTTTCGGCCATTTATGCTGAGGTGCCGGTGGTGGTTTCATCCCATAGCCGTCATCTTCGTCTTTGACTTGATTGAGCGGTATTGAAGGTACCCTAGGACCAACACGACCCGGTTTACCAACAATAACGTCAGAGTTTGCCGTTATGACATCCCCAGGCGAGATTGGTATGCCTCCATTTAGTAAAGGACTCTCGTGAGTGGGTTTCAAGTCTTTGTGACCGTTCCAATCCACGGTTTCTTGGAGGTGAAAAGTTGCAATGTTCTGACTTTCAGCCACTTCAAATTCGTCGTTCATGTCACCAACTGGGATATAAATCGGAGAACGGTTTTGTACATTGTCGAGTTGTAAGTTTCCTTTGTCGGGTTTTGGAGGCGGTGGTAGCGTCGTAGGTGGTAGTATGGAATCGTTTCTTCGATTACTCTTTAGATTAGTTTGGATTAAATCCGCCATCGCACTCAGCACAGGAGTTAAAGCTTGCAGTCTGTTAATATTGATTGACCCTAGACCCAACAAGTCAGGGACTTGGTTGACCTGATTGACAGGTTTGACGATCTTTGTAGACGGTTTAGGCTCAACGGTTGGTGTCTGAACTTTCGCTTTAGTTTTAGTAGAACGCCTGATTTTACTCGTAGAAGTGACTATTTTGGTTTTCTTTAAAACTTTCGAACTGGTTAGTGCTGGCGTTTCGGTTTTTACCGGTGGTTCGTCGTCGAGAAAAATAATAGTCGAACCTACCACCACATTTGGAGTCGAGGATTCAATTTCAATCCTACTTTCGTCTCTCTGTGGCATTTTCGTTCGTTCGATTGGCAAGACCTTCGTTGGCGCTATTTCGTCAGCAATTATCGTAATTTCAAGCTTTTGGCCATCGTTCAAAGTTGCGGATTTTGTCAAGGTGTGGGAACCATCTCTGATTTGACTCTTGATTACAGATAAGTACTTTTTATCCAGGAGATTTGGGTTGACGGTTTCGGTTACCACATTTTCGACTATTTTAGACCGTGAACTGACCACTGTAGGAGTGGCCGTGTTACCCTTTTGTAACAAAGTTGTAAAGTAGGTGAAAGTCGTGTGGTACGTCTTTGTCGCTACAATGTGGAAGTTCTCTGGTGACAAATCGATTTTGTGTTTTTTCTTGTCGTCTTTGACTACGCCGGTGCGCTTGGGGTGTAGGTACAATTTTTCGGTCACCACATCGGCGGACGTGGAAACATTCGTCTTGACTACTTTTTTGCCGTTCTCGAACAACGTATTGTAGTACGTGTAGGTGACGAAGTAAGTTTTAACCACATCTGTGGTGGTGTAATTGACAGCAACGGATGGTTCTTCGAAATCGAAAGCGATGTAAGATGTCATTACTGAGGTAGCTTTGGGTGGTACCGACTCAGTGATCACTACTTGAGTGACCACTTCGTTGGTACTCACAACTTGGGATTTGTCACCTTCGTAGAGGGTTTTCGTCAGAGATAGAGTACTATAGTAGGTGTTGGTGTCGGTGACAGTCGCCACTTTTTCCGACGGTTGTAAAAGCGATAAGTAGTCATCGGGTGCCGTAACTGTATTCGTTACAGTGTGTTTCGAAGTTACGACTAATGGTTGTTCGCCGTCCAATATTGTATTCAAATAAGTGTAGGTCGTGTGGAAAACTCCCACAGATAAATTCGGATACTGAAAATTTAAATTAGTTGGAGTATGTATAAAACGTGTAGTCATTACCTGAGTCAAAGTGATTCCCATTGCGGGCGTAGGTAAAATTTTCCCAGTGTTTCTTTCTTCGGTGGCAATATTAGAAACGACTTGTTCATGACTAGAGACAGTAGTGGTACCACTTTCAAGATACGTGGTTAAGTAGGTAAATGTTGTGAGACAAGTCTTAGTAACAAACTGACTCGGATACAAAGATGCCAAATTTTTGATCTGAAACGACTCACTTAATTCGGAAATGACTTAATTTCGGCGACTCACATTTGAAGCATCTTGTGGCAACATCATCATCATGTGGTCGCTTAAAGTACTCGGTTTTAGTGTTATCGGTTTGTAGATGGTACTCGGTAGTACCCTTCTGACATCTGGGTCTCCTGGCAGGGTGCTTTTATCCCCAGCTACAATCACTTCAACCCCATTTGACATGACTCTAGTCGCAAGGTTATAACGGGCCTCTTCAAAAGCCCTTCCTTGTTCCTCTGAATAATGCATTTTGTTAGTGACTAAACTACAATCTAATATCTTGGTACTTTTTTACAATTTTTACAAGGTATCTATATACACTTGTAGAAGAGAAACTATAGGTGAAAGGGGAGGCTAGATCTAAAATATAATACAAAAGTTAGAACTCACCTTTGTCGGTGTTTTTTAGTTGAAGGGATTCCGGAAATGGAGTCATTGGTAATGGGTTGAGAGTAGAAGTAGCGTCGAAGTCCAGTAATGTCAAAGTCGTAAATATCGTCAGTGGTTCCGTCAAAATAGTCGTTTTAGTTTGTGGTTTAACTTCTGTAGTAGAAGTTACAATGTGTTCGTCACCATTTACTCTAGTTACTATGAAGGTGTAAGTTCGTAACCTACTTTGTACGACGGTTTTGGTAATAAGTTCAATAGATGACAAAATAGTGGTTTTGAGAAGAAGAACAGGAGCATCGAGACTTTCGGATAGCTCTGGGAAAAAAGGTTCATAGTCAGGGACATGCTGAGGAGTTGGATTTTCGTTTTCATTTTCGTTTTCGTCTTCGTCATGTTCGTTTTCATCTTGTTCATGTTCGTTTTCATCTTCTTCATGTTCGTCTTCTTCTTCTATATCATTTATATTGTCACCACTGCCGTCCAAAAATTCCGTCGATTCTTCAACGCTTTCGGAAGAAATACTATTGGTTAGCTCTTCGCTGTGCAACGACGTGGTCGCTTCAACACCCACTTCTACACTCGAATTCGGCGTGATTGAATTATTTTCGTCAACGAGGTTGTCAGTCTTCAACAGAAGTCTCTTTTTCGTGACGATAACCCTTCGTCTGTGATGCGTCGCTTGTGGAACGTTCTCTTCGCTCAACTTCAACCTTCGCTTCTTCTTCTTCACTACGACCCGTCTTCTCGGTCTTCTAGTCGTCACTTCAATGTCGTTCTCACGACTGTGAAGCTGCACTCTAACTAATTTTTTGACAACGCGTCGTCTTGGTTTAGGAACTTCGTTTGCATCTACATCTCGTTTAAATCTAATTTCATGGCCAATTTGTTTCGAAACGTGATTATAATTTTGGTGTGTCTTGGAATTGTCGCCCCTTGGTAGTGACGTTTCGACCTTTGGCATGAGGGGGGCTTTCTCATCAAGGTCTGTTACGCTAAAAAATTACCGGAAGACTTTTTAGCTTCTTCCGATGCTTTAACGTATTTGATTTTGTATTTCTTTGATGATGGGTGTGCGGATTTTGTGGGTTTGGTGTTAATTGAGCCGGTGGTTTGGGACGTGATGTGTCGACTAACATCACCGATTATGCTTTCGAGACTTTCAGTAGCTACGGTTACGGAGGTGTCTAAGCTAATTTCCTTGGTGGCGGGAGTTACATAAGTGTCGTAATAGTCTAGGGTACTGATGACCAAGTCTTCGTAGCCTTTCGACGGCTTTACATCGACTGTGGTGTCTCTCTTTCGTCTTTCATTTTCACCTACAGTGATAGTCGATAGAACTGTGCTAAACTCACCCGGGATTCGTCCAGACACATATAGTGTGATCACGCTGGTTTCTTTGGGTGGTTCCGTGGGAGCAGGGGTAGGTTTTTTGTTCCTTTTTCTGGAATTCTTGCGTCTAGAAGCTTGAGTAACTTCATCGGTAATAGATTGATCTACTTCGTCTGACTTATCTTCTTCTGAAGCAAGATTCGCCTTTACTGGGACTTGATACAAAGCTTGAGCTTGTGGTTGGTTGTTGAGGTTTAGTACACCAGCTGGTTGTTGTTGTTGTTGTTGCTGCAAGGGTGAAGGAGCCTGGGCTAACTGTTGTTGCAACAGTGGTAACAATAAAGTATTCAACTGAGGCACAGGACCCGGGAAACCAAGAGTAGGTGTTACGACAACTGTATCAGTCAAAAATTCGGTTGCGGTAACTACTGACACACTACTGTCGATTATGGTAGTTAAGATCTCTTTGCCTCTAAATGTCAGAGGTATTACTGTGGAAGTAACACTAGTAACAGTGGTTACGTAAGTTGTGGCTCTTGTTTTAAATTCGGTGGTAGGCGTTGCTTGTATTCCTGGTATTGCTGGGTTTTGTACAGGATACAAAGGATTTTGACCCAACAAAAGTTGCGAAAGTAATATATTAGCCAGAGGGGCTTGAGCAGCTAGTTGAGGTTGAATGGTATTAACCACCTGTTCGACTCCATAAGCCGTACTAGGGATGACATGCGAAAACGAAGTCTTTCTACCTCTAATATAAGTAGGTGTGAAAATCACACTAGTAGTAGGTGTTTCATTTAGAACAAACTGAGTGATATGAGTTGCCCCATTGTCAGCTACTGAAGTTTCTTCATTCACTAGCACCGTAACATCTTTCCCAAATGCGTTCATCGATGTTGAATATTGTTTAGGAGGCACAACTTGAGTACTGTACTGAGCCGTGATGACATTTTTGTATTCAGTAATCTTTCCATTAACCACAGGAATGGTCACCTCTGTTGGTATTTGATGGGTAACAGTGATGGTCCCATCGAACTGTGGAATAACAAAGTTGTCATCTATTTGTTCTTGCGACGCTCTTTGTCTCGTTGTAGTCCGTCGTCTGGACGGCGTAGTCCTTGTCGTTTTTCTTGACGACTCAGGAGGCGAAGTCGTTCTTAATTTTGGTGACTTCGGTCGCGAAGACACCGTGGTTCTTGGTCTCGATCCTGACCCAGAAGGTCGCCTGAAACTCGATCTAGAATTAGAACTTGTATCCTTTTCCCTGAGTGTGAACTGAGATCGTCCTTGACTCGAAGCTTTAGTAGGTGATATCCTCTTACGTGTTGGGGGTGCTGCTGTCGTAGCGTGAGTCGTCTTAGAATTCCTAGATCTTGGAGAAAACCTGCCAGCTTTACTTCTAGCAGGTTTAGGTGCTTCCGTTTCAGGTTCCTGTTTCACAGGCGCAGCGGTCGTTCTTCCACCTGGTCTTCTAAATCTCGAATAATTCACTTCTCTTCTTGTACGTCTTCTAAAACCAACGAAGGGTTTAATTTGAATATTCGAGGAACGACCTTTTCGAGTTTCCTGCGTTGGTGCAGGTTCAGTTTGCGTGTTTGTTTGCGAACTGTCATAGTCAGTATCTTCGTCGTCATTTTCACCTTCTTCTTCTAAGTCTTCTAAGTCATCTTCTTCATTCGGTGGTGGCGTGGTGGAAGTAGTAAATAGATTTCTCCTCGGGAACAGAGACGTGTTTCTAGGCCTACTTATTCCATTTGGTCTATTCGTTTTGGGTTTTGGTGTAGTCGTAGTACTCGTTTTCCCTTTAGGTTTTGGTTTAGGTCTAGGAGTTGACGCTCTAGCCAGTGGCGGCCGTCTAAACTTCAACAAAGGATTTTGACTGCGCCTTGAACTGCCTTCCGTCGTCGCAGCTAAAGGTAGCGTCGTCTCAACCCCGTCTTCGATAGTTCCAGTACTATCAGTAACAACTGTAGTTAAATCATTTTCGTCTTCAAGCCCCGGAGGTGTCACAGTTGCAGGTGAACGACCCAACGACGACGCTAAAGTCGGCCGTATTCTAAACCTGGAGTTACCAGCAAACAGCGAACTGGCTCGTTGTGAACTAGCACCACCTCCAGACGATTTAAATCCTCCACGTCTCGAACTAGCTGCAAACGCAGTCGCCGTTGGTTGTATCCTCGAAGAACTCCTTCTACCACCGCCGAACGCCGAGCTAGGACCACCTCCCGCACTAGTAGACTTAGGTCGTGCAAATCTTCGAGAACCCGAAGCTGTCGGTACTACATGATTAGCACTCGACGAGGCTCTTCGGTTTCCGAAACGAGCAGGTTTCGACGCAGGTACTGCCGTGACAGTGGGGGTGACGTCACTTCGAGTGACAGTAGTGGCTCCTTGACCCGCACCTTTGCGTTTCGGGGCGAAAGTCGGGCGCGGTCTTGAGACAAACGGTCTAATAACGGGAGTGAAGGTGCGTTTGCGAGTTTGGAAGGTAAGGCGCGATTTCACTCGACTGTTACCATCTTCTTTGTCCTCTTCGCTTTCTTCTTCGATTTCTTCGGTTGATGTTTCTTCCTCTTCTATCTTGCTCGAGTCGCTTAAAGAACCTTCGATTACGACTGGAGATGGTGATATGGGTATGGATGTTGAGGCGATTGCGTCTGGGGCTTGGGTTGGCGAGGGGGTGATTTCGCTGACGGAGCTAGGAGCGATCGAGCTGGCTTTGCCGAGGAGGAAGCTCGATGTGCTTTCGATGATTTGGGCATAGCGGCCGTCGATGACTGTTCCGATGACTTTGGACTGGTACAAAGTTGTGGTTTCGTTTTGGATGATGGACCCTTCGATTAGACGCACTAAACCGGTTCGGTGGCTGATAGGAACGTCGGTGGCTAAAGCCGCTTTTCGTTCTTCGTTGACTTCAAGCGAGCTGGTACTTTCAATGACTTGAGCGTATAAATTATCGATGATAGTACCTACAGCTTGAGTTGTGTAGTATAAAGTACTGACGCCTTCGGCATCCACGATCTTTCCTTTGTTGATGCTTACGACACCAGTAGGTTTCACGTTTTGTTCTACTGACGAAGGAGCTATAGTGGGTGTGATGACCGAAGAGGTGCTTTCTAGTACTTTGGCGTAGCGACCGTCAATGTAGGTACCAAAGACGTCAGTGGATAGGATTGTCGTGGTACCAGAATTGTCAATTGTGTTTACGATTGATGATAGCAGCCCTGTTGGTTTTATGGAAGCACTATCACCTTCTTTAGTTTTAACATCGTCAAGTACGTTCTGACTTGCACTACCAATAGCTCTGCCTATTTGGTTTGAATCGATGTCTGCGGTACTGTTGACAACCCGAGACGATGTTTCTAGACGGCTGTTAATCACAGTACTATCACCCACGTATGAAGTGGTGTAATATGTATATGTAGTAAAATAGGTTGTTAAATCGTCATCACCAACTGTAGACGGTTGAATGGTTTCAGTTGCACTGGGTGATATTTCATCAGTTGTAGTTATACTAATAGTCGGTAACTCACTAGTAGGGGAAATCGTGGGAGTGACTACATTGGACACAGTTTCTTCACGACTTGTAGTTTTAGTAATACCGTCTTTATACAAAGTCGTCCAATATGTGAATGTCGTGAAATACGTAACAGGTAAGCTTAAATCTTCTACACTTAAAGTATGAGTGGGTGTCAAAGTTTCAGTAACTACATTGGTTACAGTTTCTAGCCGGCTCACTACGTTACTGGATGTAGTACCATGATACATTGTAGTAAAGTACGTGAAAGTAGTGTAGCTCGTTTGTAGTAATAAAGTCGGTGACGGTATAATTTCTGATTCGTTGTTCGATTCCGACACGATTTGATCATCCAAAGCGTTACGCTTATCGACGTTGTCAATAATTCTTCTATCACCCTCAGACGTACTACTCCTAACATCAGTAACCATAGTAGCAATAGTTTCGTATTCGTTCAAATTTAAAAGATTGTTTTCAATTGGAGCATCCTCTGTGGTAGTACCTCTCTGTAGTGTAACATAAGCTTGCTCTTTGTTAACACTCGTTGCCAAGATATTATTATCAAGTTTATCTTTAGTTGAATCGTAAATATCACCACCTTGAGATTCATTATCGACAACAGCTGTTTTTTGTCTGTTAATCGTGCTATTATATTTATTCGAAGGAGTGACATTCAGACTTAGAATTTTCTTCTTCACTTCTGATTCTTCGTCTTCATCTCCAACATCGGGTGCTTCGACTTGGTTTTTGTGTTCGAACAAAGACGGTACTCTCGTTGGTGCTACATTTTCCAAGACACCCGTCGCCTGGATGCTGGGGGTAACGTAATTAGTATAAACTTCAGTTCGACTAGAAATTTCCGTTTCGCCATCAACAAATATAGTAGTGAAATAAGTGTAAGTGGTGTAGTAAGTCTTGACACCGTTTTGTTGGATTTTGACGTCGTTCAAAACCGGTGTTGATCTAGTTTCTTCTTCTGGGTGTTCATACGCAAGCGTGGGAAGCAAATCTTGCGCAATCTTCGTTGGAGCTATTTCAGTTATATCTTCAAACGAAACAGTTCTGGATTTGTAGCTAGAAACCAAACTGTCTTCTCTTTCGAATAATCCAGCAACGGCTGAGTCAGAAGCCTCACTACCAGGTATCAAAGTTGATGTTATCACATTGGTGGTAACTACAATTTTACTGGCGATAGATGAGGTAGTGTCTTGGAAGTACGTAGTCAAATAGGTGTACGTCGTGTACAAAGTCTTAAAGATTAATTCGATTTCTTCGCCACTTTCTGTGGTCATTTCTGTAGTTTCTGGTTCAGATTCAGTCACGTGTCTTCTTTCAGTTGTTATTTCTTGTGGTGTAGTTTCTAGAGCCGGAGTAGTACCCACTGCTTCAGTTGTGGTTACGGGTTCAGTGGTTTCAGTGTGTTGATGCTCAGTTGTAGTAGTCGGAAGTTCCTGCGTTGTTGTTTTTTCTTGTTCGGTTGTAGTTGTAATTGTTGGTTCCACAGTATCAACTGTTGAAGAAGGTGTTGCGTCAATCGCCGAGCAAGGTTCAGTTTGGAACCCGATTTCAGTGGATACAACTTCATTAGATTTGATTGAAATCGACGTTTCGTCATTGTCTTGAGGAATAAAGAATGTCGTCAAGTAAGTCAAAGTCTTATATACGGTTGTTGGTAGAATTCGACTGCCCTCTGTACAAACTACGTCTACTTCAACGTGAGGTTCTGGTGCCTTTTCTGTCTCGATTTCGTTGGAAACAATCTCTGGTGTAGTCTCTTGTATTGGTATCGTACTAATCACATGTTCGCTTGTTGTTTCAATAGCATTCGTAGTTGTCTGCTCTTTCATCGTAGTCGTAGTTTCTTTCTGAGTCGTCGTCGTCAGTTTTTCCGTAGTTTCGGGAATTTGTTCCGTGGTGGTAATTTGTTGTTCGGTGGTTGTCTTCTCTTCTACTAGTTTCGTAGTAGTGGGTTCTTCCACCACCGCTGTGTTTTCTATGGGTAAATCGTCTTCAAAGAAAATCGTAGTGGCACCACTAGAAATTTCCGTCGCTGGTGACTTGTCAATGGTACTACTTTCCTCCAAAAATATCGTCGAAGGGGTATTAAGAGGCTGCGTAGCCAGTTTAGCTTGGGCTTGCAAAGACGCAAAAATTTTTCGTATGTCTTCGTCTGATGGTGTAGACAACAATGGTGTTTGACTTTCGGAAGGTTCGATCACATCAGGACTAAATAATATAGTTGAACTGCCACTACTAGTGCTCACAATTTGACTAGTTTGTGTTTCATCGTCAATGTGTTGTTCGTGTGCCAAAACAGCAGACTTGGCGTCCATATCTTCGTGCACATCAGGAATCTCTTCTTTGGGTCGTCGTTGACGATCACTTTTGTCGATGACCATGGTAGGACGCCGGTCATTTTTTTCAGCAACTGTGCTAGGCAGTCGGTCCTTTTTATCAATAACCACGGAAGGCCGACGCTCGTATTTCCCAGCGACTGTGGTAGGCAATCGGTCGTTTTTCTCGGGGAGTCTGATAGGCAGTCGATCGCTTTTCTCGGGGATTCGAATAGGTACACGTTCGCTTTTCTCGGGGATCCTAATAGGCACACGCTCGCTTTTCTCAGGTACTCTAGCAGGCAACCGATCCGTCTTATCGATAACTCTAGTAGGAAGCGAAGTTTTCATTTCCAGTCTGTGGCCTTCTACGGTTTGCGTTTCCATTGCGGGTTCTTGAGACAGGAATGTTTTAATAGAGGTAGCGAGAGTAGTCGACGTTGACGACGGTTTGAAAGTTAAAGTCGGTTCGATTGTGGCTTCGACGGAGATTTTTGTCACTTCCGCTATGTTCCGCGGAGCTTCGGTGGTGTGTGGGGTAAAAACGATAACAGTGTCGCCAACGGTCGTCGTGAAATCAGCGAAGCCACTGTAGGTGATGGTCTCGAAGTCTTTAGGTTCGGGTTTGACCAAACCCGCCCGGAATAACAGTTTGGCTTTACGGTCGGCAGCCGTAGTCGCCCTCGTCCTCTCAGTATTGGCATCAAATTCGGGGAAGTCCCCCAGATAAGAAAACCCGCTTGGTGAGAATTCGTTCCGTACAGTGAAAGTGGGAAGGTTGTCCCATGGTCGTACTTTCGAAGGCCCGAAACTCTCGATTGCGGGTTTGGCGTCTTCTTTGTGGTTGATCAAGTTCTCGTTGGTCAAGTCCCTCATCTGCGGGTTGATTTTGAAGATCTTCACGTTGCTTTGGAGGGGGAGAACGTCCTTTCGCAGCGCGTCTTCGAAGGGTACTCGGGGGTTGTTCGACGGTTCTTCGTCTAGGATTTCTTCTTCGGAGATGTGCTGTCTGATCTCGTTGTAGGGTTGGGGATTCGTCGTAGGGAAAACCAGCATGGGTTGGGCGTGGCTGGGTGCGATGAAATCGGTATTGCGGACGAAATTTTTGGTATTGGCGATTTTGTGGTCGAGCTGCCACTTTTTGTTAGCGTCGTAGGATTTGGAGGGCGAGTCGCCGTCGTACAAGACTCTAGAGCTTTTGGTGAGTAAATGGGCGTAAAGGCGTCCATTGTCAAGGGTAGTACCGAGCACTTGAGTGGCGTACTCGGTAGTTACACCTTCTTGTATGAAAGTACGAGCGGTGGAAGTGATTAGACCTAAATCCGGTTTAACGCTCAGGAATCGGCCGAAAGAAGATCGTCCATGACTGTCCACCAGCAAGACTGTGGTGACATCTACAGCCGAGTAAGGAAGAAAGTCAGTTTTTTGTATATTACACTTAAGAAACTACGCTAAAGATGGGTACGAGAAGTGGACCAAAGAGCTATTTACATACAACTATAACTCTACTACGTTAACCGTTAAGGTAGAGAGAACGGGTATCTACGCACACCATTGTTAGTAATAGAATTTTCGACTATCCTTGACATTTGCGAAGTTATAATTTAGTTCGCTGTTGGTGATGGTTTCCGATATTACGAGAGAAAGTTCTTAATGGCTTCATCACCCTTATGCCGGTTTAAGACCATTTTATTGTGGTGATGACTAAATCGGTAAATTATTCACGTCGTTATATAAACTATTCACCTCTTGACATTCTCGCCGCTTTTTGTGTTCATTTAAAACGAGAAAAACAAAATAGCTGAAGAATCTTGTCATTCGTTATTTCCTCCTGGGAGGTAGTAACAATGACGCAATCCTTGAAGCGGTGGTGTGGATTTTTTCAATTCGTTATTATCGTGTCATCTTCATTTTAGTTTCGTAATAAAACGGAATAGATGGTAGTGTGATCTATTGTTTAGTTGTTTTTACAAAAGGTCTTCAATAGCATTGTAATTAGTTTATACAACCAGAAACCATAAATTAGTAGGTGTTATTGCTGCAACCTTTCTACTACTATTCTATTCAATTTCACTCAATTGGTCGCACTATTAAAGTCAATGGCAACGATGGTAGTGAAACAAGATTACAAGACGTACCATTGGCATCCTGTCTTCTTCTCCTTGGAGAGGTATTTATATCATCTAAACCTGAAACAAAAAAACTTGTTAACATTTTATTCGCATTAGGGGCTATTACGAGTCGAATTTAAAAATGTCAAAGACCACGGAGCAAATACGCAAAACCTAATCTTAATATTATTGCAAATTGTATTTTAATGCAGCCATAAATAATACCGAGTTTTTTCCTCCAAGAATGTATTAGGATATGTAGATACGTTTTTTAGAGGCACCGAAAACCGCAAGGTAACTTAACCGTCCGCCATCTGTTGCGACGAAGTTCTCCGCTTTGTGCGAACCCGAGTCCCAGCGTCTCAACTCCTTATTAAATCATCGTCCCACATCAATGTCGATCTCAATAACCTGTTCAAGAAAGATTTAATTGCGGATTTGTCGAAGCCGATCGAAAGTGTGTCATAGTCTGAGCCGCCGACCTCGCGCTCAAGCTATGCGGAATTTTATCCAACGAATCTTCGTACAGGTGTCCCTGCGCACGCACATTCCTCGCCGACCCATCAACCCTCAAACTTTCCTTCATTTGCGACCTAGAAAATCGCCTACTATCAGATGACAAACAGTGATTGTGTTCACGAGGAATCCGTGCCGGGAATGCTCGAGGCATGAAAGTAAATGTACACACCCAGCGCGCGTGAACTTCCACCCAGAAACACGGATTCCTCGGGACTAAGTCACGGGGTTGATCCGGCTCCAAGGACTAAAGTGCCCGATCCGGCTCTAAGGACCACGGAAACGCCGATTGTGCGGGTCCTGGGAACTCGGCTCGGTTTGTGGGTCAGACTGCGAGAGTCGGTCAGCCGAACTCGGCCCGAGGCGACTAACAGCGTGCACGAGGGCCTCTTTCGTCTTCACTTGCACGTCTCCTGCATTAGCACCTGATGGAGTGCGGTCGTTTCGGTCCATACGGTCAACCACCATGTAATGATGCAAGATTCTGCGGATGCATAATCACTTTCTTTTGGCGGTGTTGACGATCATGTGGTTGAGTTTTACACTCGACTGTTATTGTTTTCAGGGGAACGGGTAATTATTTAATCGACTTTCTAATGGCTATTATGTTTTTGTTCATTGATGCAATGAATTCATGTGGGGAAGTATCGCATAAGAAGTAAACAATTCTGTTATTACCCATGCAAGTCGGCTTTAATTAGAAGAAACCAATTATTATTGTATTTCCAATCTCGTTCCCACTAACTTTCCATACTTGAGATTCATGTTGTGAACTCGAGAGAGGATTTATCGAAAAAGGTTAAAGAGTGCACTTACTGTACACGGGTGGAGATCAGAGCGGTCAATATTTGTTTTTCTCTTTCTTTGCCGTAAAAGCGACGTGCTTTTTATGCGTTTCGAAGAAAGTTGAAGAGTTAATCGTATCAGACGAAAAGTATGACAGATTGACTACTTTTCTTTCGACTTAACATCCTTGACTGTTGATAGGAACAGTTCTAGTCTTATTTAAAACAAGCAGAAAATGTGTAAATGGATTTATTTTAATTATAGGCGAATTTCTTCACGTCAAAGATCTACTTAGAATCGGAACTGGCGCAAACTGGTCAATCAATGCAACTGTGTTTGATTCTTTGTCCGGCCACAAACACATTTAAGAACAAAGAAAACATTATATAAAATGCGTTTAATGTCTCACTGAACAGAATGTAAGACATGGTTGCTTTAAATTTCAAATTTATGTAAATAACGCACATACCAGAGGTTTTTTTGGTGTAATACAACTCCCAGTATGGTCGTGGGCTGGAAGAACTTAAATTGTGCGATAAATCTTGCCAAAATTGCCATAAAAGTTAATCGGTCTTTCTTATGTGACACAGGTATTTGTTTTAAATTATTACAGAGCTATTAAAATCCAATATAAATTTGGTTCCAAATAATTCCAAAATATTTTCAACTAATTCCAACATAGCTATTTCATAATTTTACCTCAACACCTCTTGTAACAGAATTTATGATCTATATTATTTCGTAATCAGAAGACAACTATTCCTAAAAATTCACTGAGATTGTTTTTTCAAAAGTATTTTCTCGAGTTACATAATGATCACCCCATGGAATAAAATTTGCATATCTCTGACGTGCAAATTCTACGGCGGGTTTATCGATCTTGATATGGTCAAATTTAACACCTTGTGTAAAATATTAATCGTTTTCGCGGCAAAATCGGTGTACTAAAAGTGTAAAAGCGTAAAAACGCATATCTTGTGGTGGCATTTAATACGTTAACCACTTGATTTCACAATTTTAAAAAATATCAATTTATATAACGCCGCTTAAAATTAACATGTAGGACGTCTCGCTCGCTCCGCAACAATAACTTTGTTTACTTCATTGACTTTCTATATATTGAATGGTTAGCTTTTACTGCTTTGGCACTTTCGAATTCTGATATTTTTGGTTTCAATTTTCTGTTAATATGTGGGATAGGATATACAGGTGTCCCATTACTTGTACTTTTTTTTTAAATCACTAATGGTCAAATTTGAAACTGACCTTCGAACAGCCAAATGATACTGAGTACTAATTTGTAATAGGGTTGGATTCATTAACTTCAAATTTATCACTGTCTAAAAATCCTCTAGTCTTAAAGTTCATTATCTCTTTAATCGCATATTTACGAAATTAATTAGATAATGAACTTTAAGAGTGAAGGATTTTGGGTTTAACATTCATTAAACTTTTAAAAGGTGGAAACTTAATTTAATTAATGTTGACTATGATCAGGTTTTAGAAGAATATTTATAAAACAAACTTGAAAAATTCAGTATTATAATTAGGTTAAAAAAAGCTGACATTTTTAGGTTGAACTTTAACGTTTTTTTAGTTCGCCTGTCTACTTATGTATAATATTTTTTTTTGTATTTATTTTTCCTTATTTTATTTTTTCAAGTAGCATACTATAGTTTGTAAAGATTCAAAAGTGCATTCTTTTTTTTTGACTTCAAAATATACGAAGTACAGCGTTCAGAATGTATAAAGTACAGCATATGTCATTTATGAATACATACCTTACTATTAATATGACATGAAAATAAAAAAAATGGATATATGGTACTGTAACAAATAAAGGCGGATTCATAAATCACAAGTATGAAAGAAACTTATTTTATGAAATTTAAAGAAAATTTAGTATGCAAAATTGGCGGGGACGATTACACAAATTTTGGTTAGTTAAATATAAATTTGAGGCAACAATCCATATAGTAGTTTGGAAGATTATCTGTCTACACAGACGACACACAAACGACAAACAGACAGATGACAGACGGACGGAAACAATACAATACTTCTCTACCTTACGCTCGGGAAATAAAAATGGTCTAAAATCATTTAGACAGGACTTCGCCCAATCATTTCTCATTTAATCAGTAAAATTAATTGAGTTATTTGTTGATTTTCTAAAAAAATGTATTTCATAATTTTGTACTATGACGTTATTAACATTTTGGAAGAGATGAATAAATAAATTAATTTTAAACGCTGTTTTATAATCACGATGAATATCAATAAATTGACAAGATTTCAAAAAAGTTCTCTTCAAAGATTCTAAGAAAAATTGTACTTTGTTTTTAGAAATTTGACGTTTTCACAATAATTTGCACGCCTAGGAATCAAAGACCGTGTTTCTCTATAATTTTTATACATGATTGAAATAAATAATAATAATAATCTTAAAGTTTAAATGTAAGACAAATTTTAAAATTTAATTTAAAAGTTTGCAAAATTTTGAGATGACAACATCACATAAATTGATAGAATAAAAGACAGCGTCGTGGCGGTTTTAATACATAGGCGGATACAACTTTGACCGAACTCTGTTAAAGGTCGCGCGTTTGCATACACGACAAATGTTCGCCCGAGATTTTCAACATGTGCAATGGATACTGGACTTAAGTTTCGACAAGACGGTAAAGTAAACGCTGTCGATATTTTTTGACGAAAGTAAATCTGTAGAGGAAGTTCTTGTGTAAAAAGCAAAGTTCTCAAGGGATTTAAGTAAATAACGGCGGGAATTTGGAAGGAAGCAAAATAAATTTAAGAATCTAAAATAATCGAAAATGCAAATTCAGTATAAGTTATCTTCTTGCAGGTTTAATAATCTTTTGCGGTTGGAATTTGAACATTTATTTCCGAAGTCCCGCTTTAAAGCGAAGCGTTTCCGGGACTTATCTTATTTTGATTTTGATCGTATCTAATATGTGCCTTGTTTGTACGTCATATAGGGTTTTTGTCCATGAGGTAATCTGTAAACTGATTTTGATTTAAAAATAACTTGAATTAATACCTAATTTAACAGCATGTAAAAATTGTCTAACCAAAATTAACGCACGGATCGCGTGCCGGGGCGGAGTGAAGGAAGTACTCACACAAACTGAGAGCGGTCTACCCGGCTGTCTTATTTACAAGGATGGAAGTAAGCTTCAAGAATGCGAAGAGACGCCCTTCGCGCACCTGTCGCTATGCGCCCTCACACTGCCATAACTTGTATGTTACCATCCAGTTATTTTCTGTAAATTTTCAGTCTGATTTGTGTGTTTTAATTTGTGATAACATTTGATTTCATTGTTGAAGATTGGAGAGGGTTTTTCGGTTGGGGAATAAGTTGAACAATATTTTTCTGATATTTATGTTATTTTATCAGTGATAACGTAGCTTTCAAAAAAGCAGCCTCTGGTTTTTTCTGTGGTTTGGATTCAAATTTACCGCGTATTTTGGCAAATGCACAAGAAACGTCACTTTGACAACATTATAATTCTTGTTCCAACAAGGCGGCAAAAGTCAAGGCCCACTATGATCTCACGAGTGGAGAGAAAGCGTGTTTTTACAAAAACTTATGGAAAAACCTTCACGTAACCACAAATTTCAAAGACCCCGTATATAATTTGCAATTTCATCAGGTATTACAGTTTTCATTCTATGACCCTTAGCAACTGACGTTATTGAGATTATTTCATTGAATGTGAAGTTTCAAGCTAAAAAAAGTCATTTGAAATAAAACGAAG